ATAATAATAATAATAATAATAATAATAGTCTCTGTGTGGGGAAAGGACGAGGACAGAGCCGTGGAAACCACCCCTGGCTTGTTCTCTTTGCATACATGTGGATCTTTCTGGAAACGGGTGTGTGAGACACACAGAGAGACAGCCTTTATTTGCCCAGAAAAGGAAACGTGTTTTCCCCCAATGAATCTCCAAATGCGACCAACAAACGTGTCCTTAGATGCCGGGCCCGTCAAGATAACCGTCTCAGTCCTGTGGAGTGAGGCCTCCGAAGTGGCCGAGCTTTGCAGCCCGCGGCCTATTCAGAAGAACCGCAGCCAGCATTCCAGCCGCCTACGCTGCCTTTCCGCCCCAGTGAAATGCACACAAGATTTTCTGCCATCTGTAATGGCTGCCGGGCTCGCGTCGCTTCTCTCGCTCTCTCCCTCCCCTCCCCCCGCCCTCGACTTGTGCAGTCCTCGGTTCCTGCGCCATTTTGAGCTTCTCTGCCTCCCTCTCCCTCAGCCTCCACGGCTCCCCTCCCTGGCCAGGATCTCTCTCCCTCCCAGAGTATTCCTCTGGCCCACAAAAAGCGCCTTGAACGCCACCCAAAATCCTGCCATGTTCGGGGAAACACCAGTGACTTAGCAGAGACGTAAGATGATTTATTGTTTTTTTGGGGGGGGGGGGGAGAGGCGTATGGGGCTCTTCGCGATGGTGTGCCTGTCACCCCGCCAACGGTTCCTCCTCTGACCGCTTTTTCATTCACGAGCCTAGCAGCCGCTCCCCTTCCCCCCAAATACCCCAAACCATCACAGCTGAAAAGGCAGGGGAATCAAACTGGGGGAGACATTTTTTAAATAAAAATAATTTAACTGCTCATTCTGGAAAAGAAAGAAAGAAAGAAAGAAAGAAAGAAAGAAAGAAAGAAAGAAAGAAAGAAAGAAAGAAAGAAAGAGCTAATTCTGCCGTTTTAATATTTTGGGAAACCTTCATCTTGGTCTCTTATTCCTCTTTGATCAACAGAAACACAGGGATGAAACAGTGACCGATGGACAATTTCATCCCCTTCTGAAATGTTATTTCTTTTTTTATTTTGTTTTATGCTTGTGAATTAGTTGAACCATCTCATTTTGTTGTTCGGCTTCCAACCCCTCCCTTCCTCTCCTTTCTGCCACAAATACTGAGTTCCTGGCTTTTGGTGCCACCTAAAAATACATTTTAGAAACTCTGCACCGTTGAGCTAGGAAAACTTCGCTGTGTGCCTTGTCTTTGCTGCCTTTCTTTCACTCATTCAGATTCACCATGATATTTATAATTATTCTGCAGATCTTGTAGTCGAGGCACTTTCCCCTGCTCTGCCAGAAATAAAAATTCTGCTAAATTTAGCAGGAATAAATAAATCGGGGAAAAAGTCACAATCGGACATTGCTACTGGTTTTGGAATGATAGTAATAATCCTAGGAACATTTTTTGGACGTACATGCTGCAGTTTCGCACTGTCCATTCCCTTTCTAGTTTACATTCGTTAAGGGGTGTATTATTCAGATAGGGCTTATTATACACTGGTCCAGCTCTATTTTTTGTAAAGAAAAGCCCCAAAACAAAACTTCGATTTAAAACATGACAACGGAATTCTTTTAAACGAGAACGGTGTTTTTTTTAAATCCTCTTTTAAAGTTTCTGTCTGCTGCATTTAAATCCATGGTATATTTACATAATATAGAATTCACTACTTATCTTAGAAAGGGGGGGTGTATAACTTATATAGCCCAGGGTTGTCAGCAGGTTAAAATATTTATTTCTACCGTTGAAATATTTATTTAAAGCACTCTTCTTATTAAAGAAGGCTAACCACAAGAAAGAAATAAAACATGTTCACTTTAAAACGAAAGAAAGGAAGACAGATTTTTTTAAAAACCCGATGCGCATACAAAGACAGGAATGTAGCCTTTTCAAGACTATAAAGCCATTTATTTACTCTAAGAAAATAATGTACAATAAATAATTTGCTTTTCACTATTAAAGCATTTGAATAAATAATCTACCTCTAAAACGTAAAGGGAAGGGGAGCTCTGGGTAATTTTTTTTTTTTTTACATTCTTCCTTCTTTTACTTTTCTGTTTCACTTAAGAAATCTAAACGTCTCGTTTGGCTTCCTGAGAAATTCGGCTTTATGAAATCGGCAGACATTTTCTCCCGGGCCTGCTGAGATTTCTAACGTAAAGATATTTGAAAGGCCAGGGTGTGTCTTCTCTTGATCTGACCCTCAAAAATATGCCCTTGTTTGTTTATTTCGACCCTTTTGTGTCTACCTAGTAGAGCCGGGTTTATTGTGTACAAAAATATTACAGTGATGGAAACAAATACCTGCATTTAAGGGGAAAACAGTTTTTAAGGGGTTTGTCCAGTGAACTTCCCAAGGAACTGTGTTTTCAGTGGGTTGCCTCAGGAAATGAAGGTGCCTGAAGGGAAATGGGGGGTTAGGGCTCCTCCTGGCTTCAATAGCGTGGGGGTGGGGAGGGGAGAGGGCTAAATGTTGGACTGGACGCCTGCGTGTATCTTTCTAGAGGGGCACACAACCCAAGGCAGATCGGAAAGGGGGAGGGGGGATGCTTCACTGAAAATTCAGATGCGGCAGGTCGAAAGCACAAAGAGTGCTGGTAAAAAAGTCCAGGTCGTCGAGGGAGAAATTGACCGGGCTGTCTAAGAAGCCCGGGAGGCTGGGAGAAAGCCCTTCGGAGGTCTGTGGGCAGGAATCCGCCGAGAAGATGCTCAGATCGGGCGGTAACAAAGGAGACTTCTGGCTTTCTGGGAAGGCATTGTCTGAGGAGGAGGAGGAGGAGGAAGAGGAGGAGGAG